TATATATATATATATATATATATATATATATATATATACAAGGTGTCTGATAAGTAAATCTCTCGCATAAGAATAGAGCGAATTAAATTGAGTCGAAAAGTAATCTACCATTTTGCAATTTTTGCAATAATTAACAAGATATCAATTACTAGAAATTATCAAATATTGATTTTCAATAATTTTTTACTCGAGTGTATATTACTATCAAGTTTGCAGAAAAATAGCAAGAGACAAAAATTATTTATTTTCTTCTCATAGAGTTCTAAAAATTTTTTCAGAATTTTTTATCAACTTTTTAGTATTGCATTTTCTTATATTGGCAATTATTTTTATCAACATGAAAAAATGCGGTACTAAAAAGTTTTGAAAAAATTCTCAAAGCTCTCTAAAGTTGGTAGTACTTGAGTAAAAAATTATTGAAAACCAATTTTTGACGATTTTTAATAATCAATATTTTATTAAATTGTAAAAATTGTAAAATGGTAGAGAACTTTCCGACTCAGTTTAGTTCGCTCTATCGCTATGCGAGTTTTATCTTTACTTATCAAACACCCTGTATACTTTGTACTTCCAGTTTTTACTTAACGCGCGAAGTCGATCTGTGTAACATTTTGAAACTCATTCTGTTAGCAGCTCAGGATAATAGACCAAACAAGATAGATACAAAAATATATTTTGATACGTTGCTATTTTATTGAAGTTTGCCGTAATTTTCATCGGAATGGAGATAGATATTCATATGAAGAAGTTAAACTGGAAAGTGAATTCGTAGAGCTCAACAGTAACTGCCTTTATTTTTATCGCTTTCTTAATAAATTTATCTATTCAAATAGTTTATATAATTGATTCATCACAGTAGTACCTGAATCATTACATCTGCAGGAATCGTTTTTTACAATGCAAATACAGGGATAATCCCTGAATAGGATTAACGCGAGTAAGCCATCATTCAACTAGATAATATTTTAATGGTTGTATGTGAATTAAATTTCGATACATTTGATTAATTTCATAGGAAGATAATTTTTTTTTAATGTAAAATGCCACATATATTATGAAAATATATATATTTAATTTTATTTTTAATAATTTTTACGCATAACGTAAAATTAATGATTATATATTTTAAAGTGATAAAAAAGAGCTGTGGAAGTCGTAAATTTGTTTTATTGCTAGATTAGAAAGAGAATCCCAAATTCACAGGCGACTGACTATACATGTATTTCGTATTTTAAGGTCTTTCTTTCAAAATAAATCATATAACACATTTCTCTCATATATGCGTTATACGAGATTACTATCATAGATGCATTAAAAATGTTTGATCGAGACACACAATAAAATAGAATAAATCAGAAAATGCGTTTAGTATATTATATATATTAATGAATTTACAATTCTGATCACTGCCAGAATGTATTACGAACATCTTTCATTGTGATGTCAGACATTCATTCCATTCCGTTCCATGTAATACTCTCGTGCAATTTTTGCACTGAAATATTCTTCTGATAAACTTGCGATGAATGTACAAGTCAAAATATGAAATAAACGAATTTTTTAAGAAATCTTTTTCCATTGAAAACCTTTGTTTTATTTAGCAATTTTCAAGAGAGAAAATGTTCATTTTAATTTTTACATTTTATTCTTTTTTCAATATATCGCTTCTTTTTGCAAATTTCATTTTTGTTTGCTGTAAAAGCCGATCATATATTGGCATTTTTGTACATTTCCAACATTTTTTCTTTAATATGATATAATTTCTGTTGTTCTGAACACACGACAATATCTTTCGCAGTAGCTTTATTTGAGCATCTAATGACGTCTTCTTCTTCACGTTTACATTCTTGCTATTTGATAAAATTGTATATTTTATAAACTATATAAACTAAAAAAAATGATATTTCCTCTATTAACCAATTTTTTTTCAATTTTATTTATATTAATATTAAATGTTATTTATTACTAAAAAATACTAAATGTATTGTTTTACCATAAGTTCTTGATTCATCGGAATCGTACTGGAAGCGATAATTTGTTGAAAATCATGTATTTCCTTTTGTGGGACATTTCCATACTTCCAACGTAACAGTTGGTGGGCTATGTAATGTATGGGATCTGATGGACAATATCTTAGAGCTCTGCTTATCGCCCATGATAGTGGCACCAACACATTTTGTCTATACATACATTTATATATACATTATATAATTTATTACATTACTATGCTTATTTCAATTATATTAAATTCATTAATGTAATTGTAAAAGCTATAAAGTACTTCAAATAATCATTTCTTGTCAGAGTTTTATTGGCTTGTTCTTTCGGCAATAAATTCAAATAACGAGGGCACGAAGTAAGATTATACTGCATGCTTGTGATAAAAACATTTGAAAAAATCATTTCATCTAAACTACAAAAACAAGATGTCTTCAATGAATCATCAGATATTGTGTCAAAGATTTTTCCTTCCTGGAAAGTAGAATATGATTCCAATAGTGTTAAATTGCAATCACTTAATATTTCCTATTATTTCAATTTTAAAATAAATTCATTTTTCTATGCGCTTTATATAATAGTCCTTGAAATTAATTATAAGACACCTCGATTATTTCCAAGGTTTCCTTTTTCTTATATTCATTGTATCCAAGATCAATTAGAATATCTTCTGCCTCATCATCAATACCATTTTCTTCTACATAATTACAAGTGTTTTTATCGATCCCAAGCTTTTTCAGAAAACGGATTGTTGTTGATGAAATTGGCTTAATTTTTCCCTGCCAGTTTATAATTCCTGGAACATCAATGCCACTCGATAAAAGCCGATACAATATACTTTTATCTTGAGACACCAGTCCATATGTGACAATAGTCCAACATTGATCTTCAGTTAATCCAGTAGCAGCCAGATTCCAAATAAATTTATCATCAAGTTTTTTCATCCATGTATTATCTCCATTTATTTTTGCTCCAAAATCTTCAAAATATTTCAATTCCTCAGAAGTAAGTCCAAGGAGACCATATTTCATTGCCTTCACAATACTTTGTGGTGACATGCCTAAAATTTACTATTTAATGTAATAGAATACGATTTAATGTAATAGAACGATAAATAACGAATGCATAGAAATTCTCATGAGAAAATCTTGATACCTTTTTCTTCTAGTTTCAGTAAAATACATTCATTATACATTCCACTGTGCATAATAAAATGTAATAATTTATTGCATTGCGCATCAGTACATACGGATAAGGATTTATTATTGCGACGTCGCATAAGTTTATCCTTTAGCAAATTGAGTAATCTCTCGTTACTCCATCCATCATAGATAAACATTCCTTTATTTGTCAATTTTATATATAACTTTATCTCACATAACGCCTTCTCTTCTGTTGTATTTTGCATATCTGACATTTTCAAATAAATATAAATCATACAAATTAAAAAAATACCTAAATGCTAAGTCATTTTATGGAAACATTATAAATGTCAAAATGCAAGCTAATTATTTTGGCAATTGTTATGGATTGGTTATCGTTCGTCATGATCGTTTATCGCGTGTGTGTATGTGTGATCTTTTTTATATTAAAATAATATTACATAATGTTATTGTTAAATAATGTTGTTAAATTTCATACACAAATGTTTTTTTTATTTACAAATAAATTATAATATATAATTTATATAGAGCTTCTCAGAAATTCGCAATCTTTTGCGAAATGCACACGGATTCTCTTTGGTAAAAGAAACAACTTTTTTCTCTAGCAAAATTATATTTAAATAATTTTTAATAATAATTTAAATCTCTAAAATAAACGCTTTAAATTACGTTTATTATATATATATAATAAGTGATAATGCACGTTGAACGTATATACACTACTTTACTTGGAAATATTTCATATTGATTGATGCATATTTAAATACTACTATTACGATTTGTGTGTAATAAGAGAAAATTTTTTAATTATGATATCATTGAAAGTAAAATAAATATTTAAACAAAAAAATTTCTTAAAATCATAAGTGTTAAATATGGATAAATGTTTAATATAGCTGCCTCTCTTCGATTTTCCTATAATTTTGTAAATTTGTTTATTTTCATGCGTAGAATATATTCCGAGAGAGACGAAATATCGTCGCTCAAGTTCGTTTTCTTATTATTTAATTTCAAAGTTTTTTTATGTCAGTAAGTTGAAAAATGATAATTTAATGATATTTTATAACTGCGCATGCTCATTAATGTTGTCATTTATAAATTAATATTAGTTCAGATATAAATTAAATATAAAATGGGATTCGAACAACTTAATAATAGTAAAAAAACAACTTAATTATATTAGAAAATTATAACTTAATTATATGTATAAGAAAATTCGTATTTTTAATTAATTAAAATAGAGAATATATAATTTGAATCATAAATTATCCGCTGCTACAATTTAAATTGGTTTGTGATTCAAAATGTATATTCTCCGTTTCTTAAATGCTGCTAAAAACTTGCTAAAGATATATATATATATATAAGCTTAAAATAAGGCCCACGCCAGTCTACACATCCAATCACAGACAGATGCTCTTGAATCAATTACAGAAAGATATACAACATCTTGAATTGATCCCGATTAGTGACACAGCAAGCTCTACTATTGGTAGAGCATGTGACGTCAACCAATAGCAAAACATTAATTCAACCCAGGTCGATTTAAAACCCGCTGCAGTCGAAAAAACTCTGTTAATAAATAAATAACAACATTAATGCGTTGTAAAATATTATTAAATTATTTTTCAACTTACCAATATCAAATTTTAAAATTAAATAATAAGAAAATGAGATTTTTGCAACACTTTTCAGAATGTATTCTACGCATGAAAATATACAAATTTATAAAATTACAAGAAAATCGAAGAAAGAAATATTCAGCTGAACCTTTACATAAATATTATATGAATTTATAACACTAAAATAAATCATATTTAGACACATCCAACAACAAATTAACGTTATTTATCATTATTTTGACATCAAAGTATCAACGAAATATCACTTTGCTACTTGAGGTATGTATATAAAAGGAAGGAACTGCGAGCTTGTATTGCGAACATGTATTTCAAAAAACATTTAATTAGATTTTTTTTAGATTCATATCTTTAGAGAGCACGAAAAATATTTTGGATCTAATCTTATCTACTTATCCTTAATCTTAATATTCTAATTGAATTATAAAAAAATATGTGAACTCATTTTACTTTCAACTGTTACTTCAGAGATAATTAAAAAACTTCTGATACCTATTTCTTATTAAGTAAGTTATATGTTAAATATAATATATTTAGATATTATAAGTATTTTTAAATCTTTAGAAAAAAGTAACCATGCACTATCTCTAATTTCGTAATTTAGAGCGCTTCAAATTTTGTTAATTTTTAAATTACTCATTCAAACATTATTACTAAAATATAATTTTGTCAAAGGATGAAGTTGTTTCTGAGCAGAGAATTCCGTATATAATATATACGAATTCTGGGATACACTATATACCATTATCATATATAATTGTATTAAGATCTCTATATAAAATATATACTCACCATTTTCTCGGCGCGTATATATTTCTGATAAGAGATACATATTATGGAACCTACAATTAGCACACACAATCGACAAAATAATGAAACAACATCCTTAGATATATTTTTACATTATAATACATATTTTTCAAATGTAACAATGATATGCGTCAAGCGCACATATATGTGCAAAATATAAAACATCAAACACAATCAAAAAGACTATAAAAATGTTCGAATTCACTTGTACAAAAATGTGATCACACGCTGCCACCGACTAGAGTCCATATAAATGTCTTGAGTGTCTCTACGAGTACTTCTTTAATAAATCATGTATTTACACAAACACAAAATTTTGCTCGACATCATAGATTTCTAAGCCAGATTCAACTTAGTCTCTAACGATAGTTCGTACGTTTAGATGTGTACTTGATAGAAGCAAGTATGTACATGCCTATCTTCTGATAAATTTCGCATAAACTGAATATATAGTAGAATATATGAAGTGATGACCTATTAAGCTTGATCCTTTCCGAATTACACTCAATGTGTTCCTTGAAATTTACTTTTCGCGCAAGATTTCCAAACTTAACACATTGTATACACTATTGTTATCAGCACACGTACTTTTCACAGTCGATTACAGCAAACTGCAATAACAGTTTGAATACGCATCTTGCTGTGAATGATCGTTACTCAACTGCATTCCTCTCTTTCCCATTCGATGCCTTGCACCACCTATAATACCGTTGTCATACAGTCGTGTAGAATAAGTATCCCAAAGACCAGGTGTTTGTATAATCTGTTACATATACAATGTCATATTTTACATAGCTTTATAAATAAGGATAAATATTTAGAATCGCTTCCTTGTCTCCAATCTTAATAAAAATATATTCATTCGAGTGTATTTACTCAAAATAAAAGAATTTGACAGAAAAATGCGAATTCACCTCGCGAAACTCAAACTTTAACTCTTAATAACTTTAACTCTTAATAACTGTTTCACGAGATAAATTATTGCGTTTTTCTATTACATTCTTTCGTTTTGAGTGAATATATCATCAAATGAGTATATTTTTATTAAGATTTGAGAAAGCGATTCTAAGTAATTACCTAAGTAAAAATATGTTATAAAATATGTTATAAATGATAAATTGTAATAATAATTAGTTATAAATGATCCACCAGCGCTAGATGGAAAGAAGAGGGCAAGGTATAGCTTCGCAAGTCATTTTTAAATATCTTGATTCAGATCTTAACAAAGATTTAAATTGTATAAAGTGTTTTTTTGTAAATAGATTCTGCAATGCTTGTTTCAATGTCACTAGCATTGTAATGTAATCTATTAAATTTTTTACATCATATATACTAAATTTTATAGTTCTATAAAAATAACAGAATATTTTTAATTATCTAGTAATTGTACTATTCACTGAATCGTATTATACAGAGTGTCCTTTACCGTTTAACAATATTCGATAATAATAATCGAGATATTAATGTTTGTAATTGTACTAATGAGATAGAAACGCCGATAGAAATGCTCCGGCCGAAGTACAGCCCAGCCCACTTTTGCAAACATAGGCTGCGCTGGCAATGCATTGGAGAGATAAGAGAGGAAGCGCGCCATTACTTAGCTATACTTCGAGCGGCTGGAACATTTTTATCGGCGCGCTCTCATTAGTACAATTGCAAACATTAATATCTCAAGTATTATTACGAATATCGCTAAACGGTAAAGGACTTTTATGTTTATTTCAATCCCATCTACCTTCCTGTAGACAGTTGGAGAAGTCTCGTGAGACATCCTGTATATAAAATTATAAATTACTAGTGTAAATTCTGATATACCTTTTGTACAAGTTCCTCAAAACAACATTTTACACCATCTGCCGTTTTTGCGCTGCTCTCAATATACAGAGTCTGGTGCCTTCTAGCAAATTGTAGACCTTCTTCAGTGCTCACCTGTCTATTTGACAGGTCTATTTTATTGCCTACTACCATCTTGATGATATCTGTTTTATTACAGTATGTATTCAACTCATTGAGCCATGTCTCCAATTTCACAAAGGTATTTCGATCTGTAACATCATACATTAGGATAGCACCTTGACCGTCTCTGTAATAACTCGGTGTTAATGTGCGAAATCGTTCCTGGCCGGCGGTGTCCTGTAAATAGCGCGTTTTGATAAATCATAATACACTCTATAGAGTAAGTTATCCTCTTGTCACAAAAATATAATTGTGATTACAAACCCAAATAGCAAGTTTCACTACATTATCGTCGATGGTAACCTGTTTTGTCTTGTAGTCCATCCCGACTGTGCTCTGCATATTTTCGTAGAACTCATCCTCAGTGAATCTCAGGAGTATGCTGGAAATGACGTAGTACTGCCGATTATAGTTTCGATGTGAGAATGAATTGTACTTTGCAAATTTACCTCGATTTCCCTACATTGGATTCGCCTATCATAAGAATTTTCAGTATCGTCAAATAATCTTCCTGATCCATAATAATCTGCTGACCACAACTAATCACTGCACTCACAATATCAAGTCAATATATCAACCAGTTAATACTGAAAACAAACACTAATATCTTTCTTTCTTCGTCACGAAGTTGCCTATCAAATGTGATGGCACAGTATATCAGTGTTGTTAGACGGGCCGGGTTTCATTGAACGCATGCGCGTCTAATATAGTTTCAGTAACGTATCGATCATAGTAAATAGGAGAGCATTAATTGCCTATGTAAAATT